AATAAACTATCTAGCGAGAAATCAAGACAATTATGAGAATATCTTGACCCTGTGATTACCCAAATTATGAATCTCACTTTGTTTGGTTGAACACCCCGAGAAATCATCCCGATAAGTTTCGATAAATTTTGAAATCAGAAGCCTCCAGAGAAAATCTCCATTTATTCAAATATCAAAAGTCTTAGAATACAATGACAAGAAATAACTCCTATTTATACTAAAGCCCTAAACTAATTTAAAATGAATAAAAATATCAAAAACCTAATTTAAAAAGGAAAAATTAGTCCCAAATATTGTAGAGATGTAAAAAGATTGGAATCCTAATTAAAATAGGAAACTGCCAAAAATCTGAAATTATGCTCAGATCACATCAAAGTGGGTATGGGGCAGGTTTAAAAAAAATAGTCCCCATCCCGCTACCCGTCACATTTAAAGTTAATTTCAAATTTAAGTTTTTATCAATAAAAAATAATGGATTTATCATCATTTTGAAGAGAATATAAGTTGTTTTAACAAAATTGGTAGAAAGTAATAATATTTACTATCTAAGGACATAAAAAAAAAAAAAGCAAAAAAACAAAATAAAAAAAAATAAATGGGTGATAAATGGGGCAATTTTCTACCCCGATCCTACCCAGTCCTATTTTAATCAGGTATGGATATAGGGTAAAATAATAAAAATACCCGATGAGACAGGGGTGGGAATGACTGATTTGTCTCAAAAATAAAATAAATAAATATAAATGGGTGATAAATGGGGCAGTCTTGCCCGATCCCACCTAGTCCTGTTTTAATCGGGTATGGATATGGGGTAAAATAATAAAAATACTCCATGGGATAGGGGTGGGAATGACTGATCCGTCTCATATCCGCCTCTTTGCCATCCGTACATTGAATTAGATCACTAGATGGTCTACAATATTACGCAAGCCACAATATGTAGTATTTTAAAAAGCACGTCTAAATTCGAAACTTAACCCTACCACTTAAACACTTAACGTTGTTTATTTTTATTTTTTATGCAGCCAGGCTCATAAAAAGCTTGAACATTATCCTTATCGTTTAGTCATCTTTATGCTTGCAGAACACTGGTATTATTTTTGGTTATTTAAATATAAAAGTAAATAAAGAGTTGTTAAGTTAAAAGTAAATTAAGAGTTGTGAAGCTGGCTTTTAATTTCTGATTTAACAACTCTTTTGTCTAAATTCTAATTTGATTTTATGTTTTTAAAGAATCAATTTCTTAATTATAAATTAATACTTATTTTTGTAAGTCTTCACGCAATCTCCCTGTTACATAATATTTAATGATTTCACCTATAAAGTAATTTAATTTGCATTAAATCTTCAAAAACTGATATCATCGAAAAAGGTCGGACTGGGCTTGTTTGAGCCCTTTTTATTCAAAAAAATACATTTTAGAATGGGAAAAATTCAACATTAAGGCATTAAGTATACACAATTCAATTTCCATGTCTAAAGTTTTAAATATGCAAAAATCAGGTTTTTATTTATTAATTAAAAATATTAAGGTCACATTTATACCATTAATGGTCACAGGTACATAATTAAGGAGTTTGCTACATGTACATAATATTTTACACATAATGGGTGCCTCCACTCACATGATGGGAGCCTCACAAATGGTGGGGGGCCTCATGTCCATGTGAGTGGAGGCACCCATTATATAAAAAGTACATATGAGGCCCCCCACCATGTGAGTGGAGGCACCCATTATATAAAAAATATTATGTACAACAAGTTTAATTCTATAATTATGGGTCACAAATTTATTTATTGGTCACGTATTATTAAATTAATTGGTCACATATTATTTCGAGATCAAAAATCAAATATTTTACAAGTCACAGATGAAAAATTTATCGGTTACAATTTATCTATTAGTCACATATTTTTTGAATTTGTTGGTCACAGTTATAAAATTTTAAGGTCACAATTATATAATTGATCACAGATGACCAAATAATTGGTCACAGGTGAAACATTGGGACACATTTTACACCACCAACACCAATTACGACCACCAAATCCAGTTAATTGAAATTTAAGGTCACAGTTATATAATTGATCACAGGGGACCAAATAATTGGTCACAGGCCAAACATTCGGTCACATTTCATACCACCAACACCAATTACGACCACGAGATCCAGCAAACTGCCAACAAAAACCACGTCTAATACTTGCTCACAAACATCCCACCCACACCCTCTGCCGCCACAACCACCACCAACGTCATCAACAACAACAATAACAACACAACACGACACCACCTACAGATCTCGGTACCAGCACCGCCACCACAAGATCTCAAAACCAGCACTACCATGGCAAGATCAACTCAAAATCACCACAACCGCTACAAAACCACCACAGAAATCATCACAAACCACCGCAAAATGACATAATTGCTCACACGATGACAAAAGCTGCTCCGATGAAGAAAGAAAAGGAAAATGGCAAATCAGTGGTAGCGCCACGTGAACTGAGCGTCGTGGCTCAAATTCCAATCTGAGTGTCACTGCTCCTGCTTCACAGAGACGTCGCTTCGATTAAAGAAAAGGAAAATGGAACAGAGATATAGAGCCACTATCATCGGAGGAGCGGCGCGCACCTAGGGCAGAGTTCTTCGAAATAGGCGCCACACTCTGCCGATTCTCATGTAGTGGTGTTGTTCTCACAAAGGCACCAGAATAGAGTGGAGACGTCGAGATGATTGACGGCGAACGAAGATGAGGGTGAAGAGAGAGAAGACGAGCGAGTACGATTAGGGCTTGGGGCGATTGGGGTTGGGTAGTTTTATACTATTATTACTAATATAACTAATTTTATAATATGATTATTGATATAAATAATTATATCAAACCTGATAGTTGAACAACTAAACTTGCTACATGGTCTTTGAATTGTGATTCTCAAGTACCTGTTAGCATGTAATTCCCACTTTTGCAATAGTATTATGATGGTCAAGATATAATTATAAAAGGAAAAAAAAATTCATAACTAAGCCCCCGTTTGGCCCCTTTTAAAACTCTTTAATTTAATTTAAATTTTTCTCTCCTATTTTCAACCACACAATCTTCAATTAAATAATATTACACACAAATCGAAAAATTTTCATTTTTTTTTTACAACCATTCATTTTTCAAAAAAACATTATTCTCCCCATTATAAATCAAAATAATGGAGCCAAATGTGGGCTAAAGGGTTAAGTATCATCCATTTCAAAACTAAGAACAAAGATTTAAAATTTCCAAAATCAAATATTTATTAAAAAAAATTATGATTTAATTAATTAATTATATATTTATTAATTAATATATTAAGGTCACAGATCTATACAATTATGTTCCAAATTAACGATTTAATTAGTCACAATTCAAAAATTTTATAGATCACTATTTGTTTCATACAATTTATCTATCAGTTGTATATTTTCAAATTTGTTGCTCACAAATTATTTTTCAGTCACATATTATCAAATTTTTAGGTTGCAATTAAATACTTGGTCACAAATAACCAAATACTTAGTCACATATATCAAATAGTGGGTCACATACTATCGACTACCCTCACCTTGCCATTGTTGCCACCACCACAACAGCACCACAACACCACCACCAACAAAGCTGCCACTGCTAGATCCAATCCATTGCCAACAAAAATCATCACAACCACAACTATCGAATCTCCAGCCATGAACAACCACCTCTACCACCAACCACTCACATATTAACTACTTAATAGGTTACAAGGTCGCAAATGCAGACCTGCTCCAATAGAAACGAACCACCACTGCCATCGCTATCACCACCACCACTTTGTAACACTACCATCACCACACTGTACCAGCAACACCACTGCACATAGCACCACAAACAGATCACACCAGTTGATACCATTACTGACATCGCCAAATCCCCCACCATGCCAAAACCCCTGCACTATCAAAATATGGAAACCTTCGCCACCACTTCAACAACATAAAAAATCCAACTAAGTTACTGCAATGACATTGCAAGACAAGCCGGTCTGAGTGCTGTTCCAACCATCACAACCAATCTAAGCACACTACAATTGCGTTGAGAGAGAAGCCACATGCAGTGTACAATTGTTATCCGAGTGCCACTCCAACAACTACCACCGTCGATCTATTCAAAGCCGCACGTAGAGATCGCGCGAAATGGGCAAAGATTGCGCGCCACCTGGGAGCATAGGTCCTCGTAGTTGGTGGCTCTCTTTCACCGAAGTAAAGTGAAGTGAATGTCTGGAGAATGGAGATGGAAATCTGAGAGTGTAGAGAGACGGGTGGTGAAGAGAGAATGGAGAGGAGATGAGAGAGAGAAAATGATTTTATGGTTTGAATGGGGTAGAAAGGGTAGGGTATATGTGTATAGATTAATTTATAATATTATTAATATTAAAATATTGATTTATAATATTTGATTTAATATCTAATTTTTATATAAATAAACATTACATCTTATTTTTGAAATTGGATCTTAAAAGTAGGTCTCTATATAATTTCCACATTATAAAATAAGGAAAAATTATATTTACATGTAATATTATTTTATTGAAAAATGTGTGATTGAAATAGGTCAAATCATTGTTGAAAAGTGTATTTTGATGGAAAAAATGTGGCTCAAACAATGGCCTAATTATACTATATTTTAGAGGTGATCGTTGATATTCACAAACAAGCATCCAATTAGGCCACACAAAAAAAAAAAAAAAAAAAAAAAAAA